AGCTTTGCTGGCTGGGGAATTCTGGGAGTTGAAGTCCACCCATCTTCAAGTTGCCAAGGTGGAGAAACACTGGACTAGACTTCCCCATCCGATCTTCAGCCCATCTTTCCAGGTTATCTCCCACCCCAAAAGTGGCCATGTGTGTCTCTGCTAACTTCCTGAGATCATTTGAGCTAGGCTAGGAGCTGCTCTGTCTGCAACTTACCTTTGGACATTGTAGGTAGTCCTCAACTTACGACCACAATTGGGACCAGAACTTCCGTCACTAAGTGATATGGTCGTTAAGTGAGTCGTGCCCAGTTTTACGACCTTTTTTGCCACAGTCGTTAAGCGAATTCGGCTTCCCCCATTGTCTTTACTTGTCGCAAGTGGGCTGGAAAGGTCGCAAATGGCGATCACGTGACCCTGAAACTGTCATAAATATGTGCCAGTTGTCAAGCACCTGGATTTGGATCACGTGACTGCAGGGATGCTGCAACGGTTGTAAGTGCGAGGACCGGTTGTAAGTCACTTTTTTCAGTGCTGTCGTAACTTTGAACGATCATTAAATGAATGGTCGTAAATCGAGGACTACCTGTATTCGTGAACTCAGTATGTGTGAGTGATATAGAAGAAAGGTAAGGGAGGGCCATTTGAGACCCACTTAAGAGAAACAGGGAGCCATCTCTCCTCTTTCTTCTGGCAATTTAATTTTTTGTTCATTAGGGTGCTCAGAGGCTGTCAAGACACCATTTTTAATGTTTTTAGTGATTTGGTGATCCATCAGAGCTGCAGTGTCTGCAGGGGGGTCAAAAAAGGCAAGATGGTGGCCACGACAGAGTGTTCATGCTGTTGCACCCACCATTTTGCTTTTCCAGGCTCCACTTGGCCACCTCGTTAGGTTGGAGTGCTTTGGACCCTGGTCTGCTTAGAAATAATGCTAATTAAAAACAAACAAACCCTGCTCTGCCAACTATGCGCTGTGCCCCAGGTGTGGCATCTGCTGCCCACAGATTCCAGATCCCCCACTGTACAGTTCTTGTCTCTTGCAGGTGGTAAAACCCCACTGCAGTCCTTCCTGGGCATCGCCGAACAACACGTGGGTCCCAACAACGGGGTGAGTAACTAGCAGAGCAATGGGTGCCAGGGTCCAGGAACGAGGGGGAGCAACCGTTCAGATCTTTGGGGCGTCTGAGGGTCACAGATGTCCTGCTTCTTGCTCCTTTTGGTTTGGGAATACTTGCCGAGCTCATATTTTATATTTAGCCGTATTATTTGCTCAGCTCTTTCTGGGAATTTCCCTTGGGCCAGCGGTGCTACTGCAGATGAGTCTGCTCTCCCGCCCACCGAAAGAATCAGGGGCTTCCTCGGGGTGTAAGAGGGGTGTGCAGCTTTCTCGGAAAGCAAGGGGGTGCAACTGTGCTCTTTTAATTCTGGGCTCTGTGTTCTCACTGGGGTGGGGGGGATGGTTAATCAGAAAAACAAAGCCGCAGACTCGGAGCCTCCAAGCCAGTTTCGCCTGTTCTGGTCCTCTCCTGCTCTCCACCTCACAAATAGAGAGCCGCAGGATTTGAACAAAGCGTCAGAGGCTGTGGGGGGCGAGGGGGGTGCAGCGAATCCTGCAGCGTGCAGGGGTTGGGCTGGATGACCCCTTAGGAGCTTTCCAACTCCGATTCTACGGTTCTTGAGATGGCAGCCACTGGCCTCAGCCTCCCCAGGTGCCCCCTCCTGGAAGGGCGTCTCCCCGTGGCCGGGACCGGCTTGTCTCCCCATCTTCTCTGTGACCCTCCGCAGGCCCTCATCACGCAGACGCTGAGTCACGCCAACCCCACGGCCATCACGCCGGAGGAATACTTCAACCCCAGTTTTGAGCTGGGGACCCGGGATATGGGGCGGCCGATCGAGCTCACCACCAAGACCCAGAAGTGAGAACGGGGGGCGCTGCGGGATGGCCCGAGAAGGAGGTCCCTTCCTCCTGGGGGAAGCGCGGCTCACGCTCTCCCCCCGTCCTCCAACAGGTTCAAGGCCAAGCTGTGGCTGTGTGAAGACCACCCCTTGTCGCTGGCTGAGCAGGTGGCCCCCATCATCGACCTGATGGCCGTCAGCAACGCCCTCTTTGCCAAGCTCCGAGATTTCATCACGCTGCGCCTGCCGCCCGGCTTCCCCGTCAAGATCGGTGAGGGCGGCCGGCGATGCTCAGAAGGCAGGAAGGCGGGGGGGATGCTTGGGGCAAGAAATGGGACCCCGTTCTACCTTTGCCCTTCTGGATCCGGGAACATCGCAGCGACGCGTGACACGTTGCACGCTGTGCACACAACGCCTCGCACGCTGGCTTACTTTCCTCGGCTTCCTCAACTAACCCCGGGAATTGTCTTGATTTATTTACAAATCTGTCTTCAGTCCAGGTGACTGAGCAGAGCACAGAGCCAATGCATCATTGCTGTTTTGCAAACACACCTGGTGCGGTTGGCAAACTGTGGTTTAAATGTGAGCCAGGGAACTGTGGCTTATTCGAGGAACCGTGGGAAAGCAAACCGTGGGCTTGTGAGATCCACTGAGTGCATGTTGTCTACTGCACATCTGGCAGAAGTCCAGGACTTGAGACAGAAAGGCCCTTTCGCTTGCTGCTGGGCCCTTCTGTCTTCGGATGCTGGGGGGCCTCCTGCAGGTGAAAGAGGGCTCTGTCCTCGGGGTACCCCTGGAGCCCCTCTTCTTGTGGAATTTTGAGAAAGGAGTACTCTGAGCGCGCTCAGAGAATGATGGCCGCAGCAATTGTGGCCGGTCGCGAAATTCCCCCGAGCGTTTTATTGTCCGAGGGTAGCTCTGCCGGCTTCCTGTTCATTGTTTTCATTGAAAATAACCTAAAAATCATTAAGCAAGTAGGCAGAGTGCTGGGTGCCTCGCGGGGTACAGATAGGGGCAGGCGTATTCTTGTTCCTGGGCCCTTCTTTGGGGACCCAGGCCTGGGTACCTGCAAGGAAAGAAGCAATGTTGCAAGTTTCTGATGACACTGCACGCAGAAAGGGAATTACATACTTGCATTTTGCAAAATGAAGCAAGTACATAAATCGTATCTATCTGCAGACGGTCCTTGCTTATTCATTCAGCGACCGTTTGAAGTTACGACGGTGCTGAAATGAAACTTTAAAGTCTCAGCATCCCTCATACACGCGATTGCCGTTACAGTCAATAGGCGTTGTCCTGTGCCTGACCTCTGCTTTCTTCTTTTCTTCCCCCTCACAGAGAGGAGAGATTGGAGAGGAAGGGATTGCAAGAGAGTAAGCAGCTTGCTCTTCTACACATCAAAAGCAATGGCCGTGGACCACTACAAGCAGAGTGCTCTGTGAATATGTGTGTGTGTGTGTATAAAAATCTATCTTAATAGATAATTAACGAAATAAAATTTAAGACAAAGTTAAAATACATTTATTTAGATACACATGCGCACACAGAGCGCTCTGCTTATACCGGTCTACGGCCATAATAAATAAATCGATTGACATTGAAAGCAATGCAGCCTGGGGCTGGGAGCTGAGAGCACGCTGTGCAAACAGCTGACTCTCTTGAAATCTTTCTCTCCAATCTCTCCGCTCTGCCTCTGCGGCGGGGAGGCGGGCGGTGGGGCCAGGGGTGGCTGCTGCCAGGTCCGGGAGACTTACTGGAGTGACTTGCCACCCCCCCCCCTCCCCCCCCCCCCCCCCCCTCCCTGTCGCGGGGGGGCGTCAAGTTGATGGAATGGTGCCTGCTAAAATGAAGGTCAGGAGGGCGTATGGGGCGGGGG